ACACTCTTTGATCACTCTGTCATTTGTTTTTAGTGCTAAAGTAAAATAGGTGGAAGTGACATTGTAATAGCAGAACGCGACAGTGTTCGGTAGCTGAGCTGTTTTTTAGACTAATCGATATACAGATGTGGCAAAATACATGTACCCTACATTAATATATCCACTTGCACATGTTCTCTGTATTATGCTTCTTTTGTCTTCCTTTCTTGTTTTCTATGTTATTTCACATGGCTTTTTATTACTGTTTTCCACCATTTAATTTATCCCTCCGTTATTGAATATTCTTACACACGACATCATATGGAGTATGCTACTTATAAAATCTTGTCAGTAGCGCTATCATTCAAAGTATACAACAGCTAGTGGTTGCCTAAGTTGAAGTTATTAATCTATTCACAGAATGTTTAGGTAACTCTGATGGAATAAGTACTCTGCTCTACAACTGTATTATTATTATTATTATTATTATTGTATCCTTTAATTCCTGGAGGAACATAGGGCTTCAGCCGTGCGTCTCCATTGCGTTTGGTTCTCTGCTAGAGTCTTCACCTGGCTCCATGTCTGCCCACACGTTTTCATCTCCCCTTCACATGACCTCCTCCAAGTCACCCTGGCACTGACGACCAACTCGCCGCTTCCCTTCCGGGTTCCACTTGACCGATAGCTTGTCTAGTGATGTCACTTGATGGTTTCCTCAGAGTATGGCCACCAATCCATCTCCATTTCTTCCTACCTATTTGTTTCACAATCGGTTCCTGGTTGGTTAGCTCCCAAAGATCCCTGTTGCTGATCTTTTCTGGCCGGCCATCTGATCTTGAGTATTGAGCGAAGACAACTGTTAATGAAGGTTTGTAGTTTGTTTGAGATGCTCTTTATGACGCGCAGTGCAAGTCTCTGATCCGTATAGTAGCACTGACTGACTTCACATTGGAGTTGAAAATCCGGATCTTATTTTTGATACTGAGTGTTGTTGACCTCCTCTACAACTGTAGACTGATGTAATGGACAAACAGAGCTGTTAAGTGGTTTGGCTTCATTTTGAAATTCTTAATGATAATAAAAACCCAATAATTCCTAAAAATTTACTAAAGATTTCAATTCCCTTTCATCATGTTAATTGTTATTTAATGACACAAGTGTTATGTACTTTTTCTTGTTTTTTATTCGTCCTAAATTCACTAGTTTACTTTGAAGTATATACTGAAACTAATGTTAAATGCAAGATGTAATTGTAACTGTGTATCATATCTGTTTATCTTTATCTCAAAATATGTGCATTTTTTGTAGTGTTGTTACTTGAAATTCCCCAATAGTTTCATAAATTTATCGTTAGCATAACGTAGGACTAACTATTATATTAGATGTGAATCTGGATCTACTTCTAGGTAAACTTGGTTAGTGTGGTTCAAAACCACTTAGCAAGTTGCAGTAATTGCTAATATTCGTCACAAAATATTTTTTAGAGTTGACTTAAAATCTTATTCTAGATAATTTAGCTGTTCATTGCGAATGTCTGTGAATCATGCTAGTTAAAACTGATTATGAAAAGGAGTACTTTAAACTGGTTAATCTATCAATGATTTAAGTGAAGGTCGGTAACAATATCCATGTATGTTAAATATAGACATGTTCTTTCGGTCATTATTAATTGTAGGCAGTCGTATCGTGTACTGAGTATTCAGGAGTGATCTGTGTTTAAATATCGAACCTCGGTCTCGTGAATTTTTAAGTTTTAAATCAATATTAATGATAATAGTAATTGTAATATTAGCCAAGTTCGGGTAAACTGACTTTCAGAGCATCACTTGGTGCAGTGAAATCAACTGTAAATAGGTTAACAAGGCACTAAAATTAACTATTAAATGCGATAATACCTTCAATATTGCTGTCTTTAGTATCATCAGTTCGTGGAGCAGACACACTTGTTCACTAAGACTAACCGATCAAAACTAACCATTTCTATTGATAAGCATGTTTATCGGTTTTGCAGGAACTACAACTACAAACATTCTTATCGGCAGGTGGAATAGAGTTGTTTCTCACTGTTCTTATTGTCAAATAATTGCGACTGTTACTAGTGTGAAGATCCATTTTCCATTCGTCAGGCTATTATGAAGCAGCGGCTTGATTGATCTTCATTGTTTTTATCATCTTTTTGGCTAATAAATCGACTGTCACTTATCCCCATTGTTAAGAAATCGCAATCTTGCGTGTATTTACAATGAAATTCAGTTGTTGTATTCTATGAATAATTTCAATGGCAGTCATCTTCACACTCTAACACTTGTTACCTTTTAAATTCTTAGTTTTAATTCTCGGAATTTGTGACATAATTTCCTCAATACGACGGCATATTTATCAATCTAAACACATTGCCTAACGATAATCGGCTAGTGCATCTTCCAGTCAAAGCGGTATTTTGAAAGTCACTGGTTTCAGAGTTGATGCCAAATGTCTTTTCATAAGTTCTTTCGTTAAGCCATTTCAAGAGTACCTAACTAAGATATGATAAAAAATCCTACCTGAATCACAGTTTTGAAGATTGCATACAGTACTGCTTTTTTCGTCTTATTACCATTTGACGTTTTCTGCGATAGTGGATGCTACATACAAATAAAAGGATAAGTAGATATTTATAGTGCCTCCCAACTTTGTCTTCCTCTATTAATTTAGGTAATTTGATGTTGCCTACATAAATACAGTATAATTTCTTGGATGATACTTTGTACACAGTTTGATGTCCACTTTAGTGTCAAGTTAGCTTCACGTGTTTCGCACTAATTTTCCTCATAGTTCAACATCAATTTATTATTATTTTATTCCTTTACATTACCAATGGAACACAGGGCTTCAGGTTAGAGCTTTGAAGCTTCCGTAGCAGTGATATTTATTTTTACGGGATGAGGATGCTAGCTTCGTGCTCAACCTTCCCTCTTTACCAGTCTTATTACTGTTTTAACGAGGTAAAGGAGTGCGTCAGCCGGTGATCGAACCCCGGACCACTTGCGTGGTTGGTGAAAATTTTACTTCTGTGCCACTGATGCATTTAACATCAATAAAAATAGAATATTTTGTATATTCTTGATAGGTATTGGACTACTCGTATTGTACTTCTAAGTTGATTCGATGAACAAAGATTTATCAATGAACGTGTGTCATCGCAGTATTATTATTAATTGTTAGTTTGTGTATGCTGCCAATTTTTGTGATCCTGTGTCAGCGTACATAATGTTCAAATATTTAAACTCTGGGGATATACTATTCTAACTAGATTCTCAAATACTGCCCAACTAACTGTTCTTATTTAAATAATAATGGCCTATTGCTTTGTTCACCGGCAACAATAAAGGATATATACCAAAGTCAAATGACCTCGAACCAATCAATCAAATCGCTCAGCACTACAGATGGATGCTTTTCATAATCTTCGTTTCAGGTTTCATCCTAATTAAGGGGTTACTTTAGGGTAGATTCAGGGTAGGGTTATGGTTAAAGTGAGAATGAAGCCTGCAACGACGATTAGGAGTAGGATGAAACTTGCAATGAAGATTATGAAAAGCATCCATTTGTAATGCTGAGCAATCTGATTGGTCGGTTCAAGGCTATTTGACTTTGGTGTCACCGTCTGTTCACCGTTTCTTTGCAGTTTGAGTTATTTTGTCTAATCAAATTTTTAACCTGTCTAGTATACATTTTAGTGAATTTTGTATTTTTAATCCCACTGATATTGCAGCTTCCATAAGTAGCTCTTCCTTAATGTCAGATCAAATACTGTAGTTGAACACAAGGCTCTACTTTACTAAAAAGTACACCGATCGACGACTGTTGTGACACTTTTAGTTCATACACCACATACTCATAAATAAGTCAGTAGTATAATGAACAGATACTACACATAATCTTAGCTCAGAGAGCTAAAGCAAATAATATACCAGTCAGACGTAAGGTCATTGTTCTGTCGAAGGTTAAACGGTACTAATAGTTTTTTAGCAAAGGGCTACATATCATATGTAGCTCATTTTCGAAATATGTCTAAAATGGACTAAATACTTCAAGTTTAGTACAATTTGAAGTACCACTTTCATATACCCCGGGTGGAGAGTCTGAGTGAGAAGCGATGGGTTGGGTGTACGAAAGTGACATGGAAAGGATCATGTATGGAGGAAAATAAAAGCCTTTAAGGAGTGTCAGAAACAGATCGAATTGAAAGCAGACGACAGAATGCAACAGATATATTCCATTGGGAATAGAAGAAGATCATAATGGTAGTAACAACGACAATGATAACGACTAACTGAACTTTCAACGTGGAACCTTGTGCGAAGGCGTAGCAGTTCAAGTTATCACATTCCGTAAAAATGATATTAAGTAACTATTTCTAGAAACTAGGTAAATGTATCAGCTGTTTCTAAGTGGAGCGAAACGATACACCGATGTACATATCCAATAGCAATATTAAATAACATCTCTGGTGTATGAAAGAGTAAGTTTTAATTTTAAAATTTTAAAATGATATGTGAGGGCGTATCAGTTTAACATGCATACTTTTAGGTTTCTGTATAAATTTAAGCTGTTCCGTAACCACTTTTGAATTCAAACAACTGTAGATGTAGACTTTAGTCTTCGAATTCAAAAATTACGGACACTTTCATGAAGTTGAACATACACACTATTGGTGAATAGAATTCTGAACTAATGATCTATTCTACAATGCATAAACGTTTCACTGACACTAATGGATTCCTGTCGATTACTGCCAAAGGCATGAATCGACATGATATTTCACAGCGATTAGTCGTTACAATCACCGAATTCCTATTAACGGTAATATATTTAACATCAGGTAAGATGCTATTAGACAGATAGTGGTTACCCTACCTCATCTGGTGTGAGTTCACAGCGTTTTTACATGGTTACAATTTTGTAATTGAGTGGGCAAAATGTATAGCATATGTTTCTAGGCTACTGAAGTGCATGGGAATAAATATGCCTGAATCCCGATTAACCAGATATCCTATTTGAATGGCTTACATTATATCTTCAGTCATTTAATGCTTTACTTAATTTGTCAGCTGTGTGATGTTAACAATCTAATCTTGTTTGCTTAATTGCAGTATTATATGAATCGGAACGTGAACATGTGGCAAAAAGACGATTTGGGTATCGCTCCTATTCAACCGGCTGCCTTATGTTTCAGTCACACAAACGAGACAGTCAAATCATGTCATTGTGAAGCTGGCTGTAAACGAATGTGTGATCGAGGGCCCAGACCACTTTCACGTGTACGTTTTGTGTGAAAATTATTAGTTCCATTGTTTATTTTCAATATTTTCTGTTTCGTATAGTACCGCTCTTTAATATCTGATCTAGCGACAAAATTTAATAGATCTTTAGACGTAAATATCAAATACCTATCTCCTAACTCGTTTTTGATGTTACATGTTTGAGCTTTTTGTACAAAAGTGATGCATCACTGGAGATTATGAAATAATTGTTTTCTAAACAATTCAATATTAATTTGAGTAGTGCAGTGTCATTGGTCCTGAAAATTTTCTGAATTCTGTGGGTTAGTAGTAACCCACATAGTTACCTGATTTTGTTATTTACCTTTTTCTAGGTAGTGTTGAAAATAGAATCTATTCATTTATTAAGTAATTGAATAGATCCGTTAAATTCTACTGTATTGTCCAGAAGCAACTTTTAACTGTAAAATTACTCAGTGATTAATAACCACAAACTAATTCTACCAATTCAAACTGACAGAGATTTTGTGAGGTTGTACAGTTAAGAGTATTATTTCGAAGAGTTGGATTATAGTTGAATGATATAGGCTAAGGATAGCTTTTCTGTATGACATGCTCATTTATTATAATCTTTCTTGTTCAATAAGTAGTTCTGTCTTCAATACTGTTGATCTGATAATTTTAGTCGGCAGCTAGGCAAATGAATTCCTCATATTCATAACTGCAGGATGATGCAGCATCTATGCCAACTACTTTACCAATTTTACGATATTTAATTTATGAGTTCATCTTTTGAGCTTTTGTCGTTTCTAAAATTAGTTATTTAGTGTAAATAGCTTATTTCTGTTCTATTTTATCAGCTGAGTGAAAGAAGCAACATGTCGTTATGGTATCCTGAAGCACAATTTAAAAATTCTACTTCTTCTCTTGGATGTTTAGAGTTATGGTACATAAAATCCTTGGTTTCTAATTTATCTACTTTTCACAGCCCGTTTTTAAGACTGATACTTGTTTGGATATCTAATTCAGTTGCAGTTATGATCTAAGCTATGGATATTGCTTCCATTCTACTCACACTGGGATTAGCATTCAAACATGGTGTAGCTCCTGACTCAGGAATGAAGTTTCAGTCAGGAAACCAGCAGATCTGCATTCATTTTCGTATTTAATTTCCAGAATTCCAAGCAAGACACCTGATTCAGTCAATGTGGCGGAGTCAGCTATCTCTTATCTAGAAGTGTGATGCTAAGTCAGAATCTTAAAGAGCAGAGAAAGCTAGACTCAAAATATACCTGTGAAATTACTGATGGTAGATACTATTCCCGTATGAGATTGCGCTCTACTTAGTTGAGTTCCATGATATATAAGGATTTAACAGTTGAAACTGGTTTGTTAAATAACTTTAAGTCAATCAATATTGCAATGAGTTACTTTTCTTTTAGTTTCCCAAAGATTTTATTATTTTATTTGTATACGTATTTATTTTGCCTTTCCATTTACTCATATGTTGTTACATAATATTAGATGAAAACGAAGTGTAAAAGCGTAACGAAAAGTTGTTTGACAGTTCAAACCCTTTAGTGATAAGTTGTATAGAATTAATCCTCTTTAACTGAAGTTCATGTGCATTACTTTAAGTAAGATAGTTTGATCTCTGATGAATTACTTACATATCCGTTAACTGAATCAGACTGTCAGAGTCAGTGGAATACAGTTGATAAGTAACTTTTCAATTAGATGTGATGAAAAAATATGAACCCTAGTGTTTATTGAAGATAAGTAAGTCAGTTTGTGATTTCGGTATTTTCGTTAGGTCCCGGCTTCAGTTTCACATGTGAATGTAATTATTATTATTATTATTGTCCCCTTGGGTTCCGAGTGAAACACAGGGCTTCAACAACACATCTCCACTTTTTCCTATCTTCCGCCTTCCTCTTTATCTGGGTCCAAGATTGCCCAAACTTTCTCATCTCATCCTCACGTGATCTCCTCCATATCACCCTAGGATGACACATTCGTCGCTTCTCATTCGGATTCCATTCGAACAATGGCCTGCATTGCGTGCGATGTCATTCGACGACCTCCTCAACGTATTCCCGAACAATCCATCTCCATTTTCTCCTACATATTTGTTGAGCGATCGGCTCTTGGTTGGTTTGTTTCCACAGTTTCTAGTTACTAATTCTTTCTGGCTATTTGATCTTCAGTATGGAGCAAAGGCAGCTGCTGATGAAAGCCGGCAACCTGTTAGAAATCTTTTTCGTGATATCCAGTGCAAGTTTCCGTCCTGTATAGAAGGAGGGACTTCATATTGGTGTAGTGTAAAAGTCGCTATTTTTTAAACTTCATTAAAGACACATTATAACAACTGAAGGCAAGACACGAAAGCCAAGATATATTTTTCAATAATCAAACCGCTATATATATATATATATATATATATATATATATATATATATATATATATATATATATATATATACGTCAACCAATCACTGAGTGTGTGATTTTGGTTTACATTAAATGGCATGAAATAGAATGTTCAAATATACATAGTATTATTCTGTTGCTGACAGAGTATTGAACTGTGAGAATTATATTCTGACCCTAGCAACAAACATAAGGTTCAAATAGATATATCGTATTCTGTTGCTAATGCCGTAGTGAACTGTGGGAATATGTAAGAATCATGTCTCGATGATACACATTGTCTGTAACACACCATCACTATATGTCACCGTACAAGATGATCAGTTGATGCTTTCCATTACCAGAATAGTATGAGTTGGGTGGGAGTTTTTGTAATTTTAACTAAATGTTAGTGGGTGAAAGTGCATATTTTAGTCATATGTCTATATTTTAAGATATTTGTAACTCGACCGCTAACTAATTATTTAATATCATGACTTTTGCCTAAGTTGTGTAATTGTATATGCTCTTCTATCAGATCATATACTTTGTTTAACAAACAAATGTCTGAACTAATTAAAAAGAATTCCAGCAGTTGGTGTGACCACGAGAAGTAATTTTGCTCAAATTATTACCAAAACAAAAAAAAAATTATCGTTGTTTGTAAACCATTGAAATATCATTATAATTAATTTGATCTTTCCCACAATGCACAAACTTTTTACTGACACTAATTGCATTTATTATAGATCCTAAGCAGATCTCAAACATGTTGTGATGATTCATTCATTGGACAAAAGGAACAAATATCATCCTTGGTCAGAGCAATTCAGACTGAGATTTGCACTGCGACTGCTGATAATACAACATCATCTTCAAAAGGTATGAGATCTCGACTATCTACCTGTAAACCACAGTTAAAACTCCAGGAAGATGAAATGGACATGAAGCATCTCAGAAAACTTGCTTTGCCAAAACATGTACCTCCACCACCGGGAAAAATGGTACCTAAGAGTAAGAAGAGTTTCATAATGGTGGGATTAGTGTTAACTTTTCGCAAAACTTATTGGATTATTATTATTGTTATTATCCCCTTGGATTCCGAGTGAAACACAGGGCTTCAACAACACATCTCCACTTTTTCCTATCTTCCGCCGTCCTCTTTATCTGGGTCCAAAATTGCCCGAACTCTCTCATCTCTTCCTCACGCGATATCCTCCATGTTGACTGCAGAAGATTTCCAAACTGGTTTCAGGTTGATGAAGGCTTATCTAGCCTTTCCGATTCTGCCTGTATAAGATGGTCAGAAACTGGACGAAGTAATAAATCCAGGCAATGGGATTTAAACCCATTTAAAACGTTACTCTCCTGGGATCGGCTGCTCACGCGGTCATGAGTACCGACTTTTGACTTCGTAAAAGTTGGTTGACATTGCTTTTTAATTAGTAAAGAAAGCTGCTTTGGCATCATTCTTATTGTTAAATAGTTATTTTATGTTCCTCGAATTTAAGATTCTTATCGGAATTTATATATTGTCAAGTGGAAGTCTAGTTTGAAAATCTTAGGAATTTGTATAGCCTGCTACATAGCATCTTCATTAGAATTGAAATGTAATTTTTTCCAAAGGATTCAAAATCGCAGACTAAAAGTTGTAGACCTAATTAGTGTGTTTACATGTTGAATTTTAAATGACCCAATTAAAGTGTTCATCTTCTGCACTCATTCAGACAACTTGAAATTTCATTTAGGGAGTCAGCAGATATAAAAAGTAACATCTAAAAAGACTAATGCTGAAATCGTTCACCGTTTTTCACATCTTGCAACTGCATAATCACCGTTTAAAGTGACTTTAAGGCAAATCGTGTTTTTTCCTCAGCAGAAGTGAATTTTCTGGTGTTTTAGCGTATGAATGATAGATGAAATTTTCAGATGGATTTACTTACAAAGTCAGTTGTCTTGTTTAATTATAAGCTACACTACCTTTTCTCTGATCATAAAATGAAACTGTTTGCATGTCATTGTTGCCATCGTACGTAGTGGGTAATAATCGATAGGTGATTGTTCTTGTGGCGTACAGTGTAAATAAAGTGTGAAAGCCGCTTTTGAAATGATTTTATATAACACATTGATGCTGCTTGAATAGCCTCTGCAAATAACTGGCCAACTATATAACTATATGTATATATATAATCCTGTTGTTTTTAGATCGAGGTTGGTTACGTTCAACTCCAGTCTATCGAGGACCAGCGCAAAGTTCTTTAGTGCCAAGACTGACGTTAACTCATTTTTTGCGTGTGCAAAAGAATAAATCATGCACAGACCATTGTGTACCTTCAGCAGATAAAGAACATAAAACCTCTCATAACAGAACCATTCATTCACAACGTAAAAGCCTTTTGGATAAAAATGATAAACCTGTACGTAAATTCCATCAGAACGTAGGCGAAGTTGGAGATATGAAACAAACCCACCTCAAAAGTTCAGCTGTATGTTTTACATATGTTTGCTCAACATTTCTCTGAAACTTTTGTTTACTAATATATGTTTTTTTCTGACGATAGTTTCACATAACTGAAGTCCTATTATTTTTCAGGTGAATGATTTTCACGAGTTAATAAGCTTGAAGTATCTCCTACCATATGCCGAAATAGACAAAATTCAACAACAAAAAACTAAACAAAAATACTGGGCAGAGGTTTCATTCTTGTTCAGTAATTGTGTGTGAGCTGTGATCACACTCATTCCGAGCATGCATTGGTGCAGGGAAGTACTGAACTCACCCACACATTTCAATCGGGGTGAACATTACTGATAATCTTAAAACCAGTAATGTGTATATTTCATATCCATTCGGTCCACCAGTGGTAATAACTCGGAATAAAAACTATATTCTGTCTCTAGATTGTACCGCGCACTTCATTACGTGTTGGTGGTTACATTTCTATCAACTTCTTGTGGGAACTGGTCCGTTGTAGCTGATAATGCCAAGCGACTCTGCATGTTTGATTACTGCTGTCTATCACAAAAAGCTATTATATGATAGCGGCACTGTGTAAATAATTTTGAGGTCCGGTAGCGCGTGTGTGAACAAAGTGTAAATCGTCTGTGGATGAGAAAGTGATTCTCAGACATCGGTTTTGGCAGTTTCAATGTCTGCTTTTTTTTAGTTTTGGAACGTGATCACTCCATATGGTATCGTGGAGTCAAGCATTCTTGTGTTAAGTTACCATCTACCAGGGAAGCACAGTTCCCTAGGTAAGACTTAAGAAATCATAAGACATGCTGGCTCAAGGTTATCTTTGAGATGCCTTAGAATCGAAACTACAGGTGATCATGTCTCACCTTTTTGCTTTTCTGGTGTGTTTATTTGATTATACCTAAGTGGAATGTCTGATTGATCATTCTGTAACCCAATAACTACTTTGTCTTCCTAATATTTACTTATTAAATTTTGTGGCACATTTCCTGATATCCACGCAGTATCTTTTGGGGGGTCTAAATAAATAATCATTACCACTCTAATATAACCTACTTCCAACTGTTTAACCATTGCTTCTTGTTTTCTTTCTTTCCATAACCTACAATGATAGCTTTTTTTATTTACCTAGCCTCTTTTTATCTTATATTGAAAATGTGCTAATATGGCTCATAAACTTTGGCCAATATGCAGGCTAAGATGATGATAAAATACAGAGGCTTGTGAACAGTTTGAGCAAACAGGTTGAATATCTTCGGGATGCAACTTGCCTTTGTCAAATGTAAGAGGATTCTGCAGGAGCAGTGCGAACCAGCTCCCAGTTACATGATATAGGTGGTGGAATGGTTGAGCTGACCAGTAGGCTTGTTTTCAGGGTTGCACCAGCGCAAGTGAACTGAATGCAGACGAAATATGAGCACATAAACAAAAGAGTCATTTGACATTATGTTTGGTGTTTGTGTGATATCGGGCTACCGATGTAAAGCAAGAGGTGTGTATTGTGTAGCGGTTCGTTCCATCCTACTTTATGGACTTAAGACACGGTTTTTGAAGATGTAAGATAGACATGAAGAGATTAGGAGTTTTCGACGATGGGTGCCTCTGTTCAATCTCTCACAGTAGGTGGAGTGATATGGTGAGTAGTAGTGAAGTGTTATTGTCAGATCGTGAGGTAAGAAGGAAGTTTATAGATGATATATCTAAGGTGTATGTTACATATGTCAAGGTAGATGGTGTTACGAAGAAAATAAAGCACTGATCGATAAAGTCATTGACCATGTTATGGGGTGTAGACTGCTTGTTTGAATCTTCAGGTTGTTAAGTATTTAGATGACACTGCTCAACAGCGTTGGCAGTAGTCCAGTTGTATTTACTACATTATATGAATTTGGAAAATTCTTAAAAATTTTCATCTATTTGTTCTTTGTTCTGTGCATCTTCTTCCATTGTAGTTTTTATATTACTTTTTTCTACTTTTATGTTGGCTTTCCCGAATTAGAGCAACTTGAAGTTATTTCTTTAAGTGGGAAGTGTCATGTTGTTAAGCCTGTCAGATATTAATTACTTATTTGCTTGTTGTTTTTCTAGCGAAATCCAGCTTTAACGGATGTGGATGAAGTTGCATCTAACTTATCACTGCCAGAGGATTCTGCATCAAGTGATGAATGCGTGACCAACAGCAGAAGAAGTGAAAATGAAGATGATGATTACATTATCAATAACAATAATGTCTTAACGGTTGACCCTATCCCAAGTAACTTAAAACAGTCGAAATTGGTTAACTCTCAGGATGAAAGTTCAATGATAAAAGAGTCAAAATGTAGCGCTAATGCCTGTGAAGAAAATACAACGTCATCGTCATCATCAGCGGCAGTAAATTTACAAAGCGAAGATTTTTTGTTAATGCAACCGAAACAATCGAATTTATCCCCACAAGTAAGTATCAAGATTTATAGGTGTTCTTTGTTGCAAGCTGCTGATTCCTGAGTGTTTATTTTCCTTATATTTGACTTGTACCTACTGAGATGCTATTATATCTTACTACTGAGCCAGTATCTACATGGAATTGAGTTCTAATTCCGTGTAATTGGTGGTGAAATCGATGTAAAATACATGCAGCACTTTCATTCTGAGTGCTCAAACGCAGGATGATGTAAGGGGGCCTATCTTTTTGAATTGTCGCAAACAATTTGTTGTAAAAGTTGTACTGCCGCTTACACTGTGTCAAATGAAACCTTGTTTTCCACTTTGAATCTTATTACATTACAGATTTATTCTGGCTGTTTAAGACTTTTGTGAATTGTTGTCTTGAGGTGAAAATTGTATTGCTTTGCAAGTTTAAGTAGTTTCTCAGTGTGTGCTGCTTGTTGTAAATCCTCCTCTTATATTTATTTCTACAGTAATGTTTCCTTTTAGCTTTAGAAATATGAGGTATTGAATCACTGATACCATTCTATCAACATTTACCCAAAGTAGTTATTGGTTCTATGAGTCAAGTAAGGCTAATTGTTCAGCTGGATATTTACTTAGAATGTTGTTTCAGATATTCTCCTTTGCGATGACAGATTTGTAATTTAAGGTTTATGTAGATTATGAGTAGTTATATAGTTTTTCTGAAGAACTAGAAACATTGAAATTATAGAAATGTATTTGCAGAATCTATCCTTTTAATTAGATAAGTAGTGATATGGTTCATGCCTATTCAAATATACATACTTATTGGTTCAAAGTGATTTGAGAAAATCAAATGGTATACTGATGACATATACTGTATATGGTAAGAGCATTTTTAAGATAGCGATCAACCTATTTTTCAGTCCAAAATATATCTGTATTTTTCGAACTGATCCATAGCTCTTAATATACTCTCAATGCTAAAAAAGTTTGCGGGGAAATGCTATGAAAAAAGGTGATATTGAGGGCCTATATTTAACATTCTTAAAAGTTCGGTATGAAGTAGAAACAATGTCTGAATCACAAAAAGGACAATAAATGATGTGGTGTACGCTACTTTTAAATATAGATGAGTTGTATGTAGAGTTATGTCTTCGTGAAGACCACTATAGAAAAAAAGAAAGTGGATTGAAATTCTCCTAAGACACTAATAAACGACAGAAAATGAAGAACTGAATCATCGTTTTAGAGCTTTGCACTAAAGTTCAGGTTGTTGCACTTATGAAATGAGCATATAAAGTTAAAAACCATAAATAAACATGTATGAGATGAAGAATAATTACATGAAATTTAATTAGAATTTCCAGATTATGGGAGATCGCAAGGAATGAATACATCACAAATATACAATGGCCTATGATATATACATATAACAGATGCAAGTTTTATTTTCTTGTTAATTTTCATTGTGTTTTGCCTCAATGAATATTTGACCTGCCTTAACCAGTTTTGTTCTGTTCTGTGGTAGCAAAAAACGAGTTCTCATGGGCACATGATCTGACTGCAATGGTGTGCAGGTTAATCCTACCAGTTCTTCATGTTTCTCAATTCACTTACACGTGATTTGCTGATACACTAACAGTGTAAAACTAAATAACACTTGTAAAGTTTATGTGGAAGGAGTATTATCAAAAATGTTGAATTTACACCACAATAAATTACAACGGACAATGTGTAAGTAATCAATCCATAGTAATGAAAAAAATTCAGTTACTGTGTGAGAGTAAATTACAGTATTATAATGGATCGAACCATTACAGTCCTATTTAATATATTGTCATATGGTAAATAAAAATCAACTCAGTTATGTAAAGTCAAGAAAAGTTGGTAGCAGATATGACTTATCTGAAGTCTTATTTCTCAGCTACCATGAATCAAAGTTCAGGATATTTTTATAATAGCAAGTAACAGTTTCCCCAACAGAATGTGCTGTCAGTGTTTTTACCATCTTCAAAAACTGAATACTTTTAGGGAGACTCTGGCTGTCGAACACTAATTGTGTGTAGTTCACATTCCTATATTTGACTCATAAAAGGTAACGTTTGTAAAAGATGAATTTTACGTGTGGACGATATGTAGATTGAGTACTATTTTGTCTTATGAATTTAAATACTGAATCGTTGTATTTAATATGCGAAGTAATGTGCTTTTATAAACCATTGAGCCTTTTGCAGGAATTTCTGCACAGTGGTTATGATCCCTATAAATTTCAGTTTTGAAATATTCTATCAAATTATAATTAGCATATCATGTCAGAAATCGAGGTCATCTTTTAATTCAACCTAATTTCTATGATGTTTAGGGGTCCATTTTATGTTCCCATTCTTGATAAGTGCTACACTAAGTGTGTCAAAAATGATCCAAAGAAGTCAGAAAAGTACTTGAGTTATAAGATAATTTGAAACTTTGCTATTTTACTGACTTATTTACAAGACCTAACTGATTTTCTGCATTCAGTCCTACTCTCACTTCAATTTAATATATGCTAATACTCTCATTCATGATCTGTACCTATGTGTGCATATGATCAGTATACAAGAAAGGAAATAAATAACTGGATTTGAATAATTAGAAGTTCTTAACTCATTAACTTTTGACTAGAAAAGTATTTCAGTTTCACTATAAGATTATCTGTAATAATCCTATCTACCTAAGAGTGAAGTTGAATAGAAATCAAAGATGTTCGGACTGATGTACACAAAATTCTTAAAAGTCGAAACATATCGAACTAGCCACATTCTACGAAGTTATTGATCTCATCTTCGTGATATGAGCCAATGAAAAACAATTACTTCGTCAACTTTTTTTTTGTGTGAAGTACTTTGATCTGTATTAGCCAGAATACTGAATAAAAAACAAAACAGCTTCCAATGCTATAAATCTAAATATCGCAAACGGTATAGATTGTTACAAAAGCAGGTGATATCATTGGACGTTGCTACTCAATCAATCACAATGACGGCATCGTAGGTACTAATCATGTAATTCTCCAAAAGTAATGAAATAGCATACTTATCGTCTTACATCTTTATTAAATAATAAAATGGACATAATAGTTCTCAGGGCAGTTGAAGTGATTAGAAGTGGCTGAGGTCCTTAACTTCAATTCTACTGCTAATTTTCTTCCTACAGTACCTTAGTTCCATTTATTAATGTTATCGCTTTTTAAAAACTTGTTAACTTTCAAATGATGTTTGTCTTTAACGTAAATTATCATCACACCGGTAAGGAATTTTCAATAAGACTTTCCCAAATGTTGATTATAATTGTTGTTCTTTACGTTGTGCAGGTGACGACAAGCTCCTTTTTATGGCAAAGCGTTAGATTTGGACATAAAATGTGTTATATTGTGGATTTTTTCAATCTGACTATTTTTCATCTTCTAACCGTTGTATTTTCCATTACCCCACCACTACTTTGCAGAGTTCCAAAGCAAATAGTCATATGCTGCAGAAGTGTAGAGAACAAACAAGACAATTAAATAAAACTGTGGGGACAAATCAGTACAATGATTATGATGGTGAAGCAGACGATGGTGGTTGTAGCTCAAAAGATCGTGTTGATATTTTGAATGGAAGTTCGATTGAAAATTCACAAATTTCCACGAATACAACGAATAATGGACATGTTGGATATAATGACGATGATATCGGTAATGATGTTGATCTTATTTCGTATTCAGATGATTATGAGGATTCTCAAGATACGGAAACAATATCAGCTGGGTTGGAGGTATGTCTAGTTCAGTAGTTTTTTTTCCGCCCTTTTGGTATTTCAGCAGATCATTGGGTAGAGTGATGGTGACCATTGTCATTCATCAGGCTTTTGTGGCCCCTAAAATATACTTTTGTTATTGTAGGATTCAACTGCTATGTTGAACAAAAAGACACAGAACCACAAGATTTTTGATATTGTAGACTTTAAGTGAAGTAGCACTTCAAGTCGTTTTGTTTTGAAGAGTGAAGCTATAATCAGTGCAACTTTGTTCTAGCGTGAAAAATGTTGTTTCTTTCGAGCTTGTTGTTTCTGATTCGCACTTATTCGTCGTAGCGCCATTGCACATAGAATCTCATATACTATGTTAGTCAACTTGCGTTTACAACAGGGAGATTTGTATCCTTTCCTATGGAGTGGGATGATAAACGGTTTACACAAGTCCATCGGAACTAATTCAGAATCTCTTCTAAGAGATAGTACCCTAGTTACTATGGCTAGTAATTCAACACCACCATCCTAAAACATTTTTGGCTCCTGTGTGTCTCTTAAGATCAAAAGCAGCTCTTGCGGCTTTGGCTGCTGTTGCAGGACCAACATCTACATCGCGTCAAGGTATGAGTTGGATGGTAGGCAGCAGTAGTGTAGCTGGAGGCCAGTTGAACTGCTCATGACAATGTTCTACGAAAAATTCCAGCTGTATCTCCTGAGAAGTTAGTAAAGTTTCTGTGCAGTATTTATAAGGCAATCAATACTTCTCGATGTTAAGTTCATTTGTTTCGAAAGTGGTTTACAATAACCATAAATTACCTGTTCTAGTGCATAGAATACGATGCATAGAAAGTGGATTAGTAAGGAAATGTAGTCATAGCGAAAGTTTAAACATGACATGTCTTCTTAATTCAATAATATTTCAAGGTTAATTGAATTTTTTATCCTAAAATAAAGTGAGCTGTTTTTACCTTGTTTGTTTGGTAGCAGTTGACAATAGAATCAACGTTTTGCCCTTTTTGGCACTGTTAGTGATCCTACTGAGACTCATTACTTGAAACATCAAAGTATTATGGACTGGTTGTGTACTTCTTTTACTGTATACATTCTAATGTACTCCACAAATATTACGACACCCTAAAAGAAACACGACAATGCTTGAATAATTTTAAAGCTTCTTTGAAATGTTAAATTTATAAGAGAACTACTTTATTTGGTATTGGAATGAATGCACAATGTAAGTCGTAAACTTAGAGACTCCTACTGCGGTGAGAGCTGTCTGATAGCCAAAATTGTAGGCAACAATTTACGTCACGAATCGGGGTCATGAGAAAAAACAGCCTAACCTTGAGGAACTCACCAGCCAATCACAGCAGACTTAACGTGTGCAAATACGATTCGCAGATACATGACTTAACTTTCTGAGAAACGGTCACAAGCTGTTTTCAACATAGAACTTTGCAGTACAGAATAACCATCAGCAAGAAAACAACCAATTAGGAGACATTGCTTCTCTGCTGACATTAACGCTAATGATAATGTACATAAAAATCTATAAATATTTCTTGATTTTCTCAACAAACGACCAATTGCCTGGCCTTTGTCTTCTATCGTTACACTACCATCACAGTTTTAAGAGTCAGGTGGGGAATCCGAAGTTCGCTGTTATTCAAACTAATGCATTTAATATTTGCAAATGACAAACTGCTCATACATCTGAGGCAAATCACCTCTTGTAATACTTCTCTTGGTAGTTTCATATTATGTACTTTCAACGAAATTGTAGACTGATGTAACACTACTTTAAATGGCCAGTACCTAAATGAATTTAATCAGAAGTACATTTTACTAACATCAGTTATGAAAGTCCCGAATTCTGTAACGTTTACGTGATGAGAAAAGAAATAATCTGCTAAACTGCAGCAGTGTACTGACAGGGTCGTACATAAACCCAAGATTATTCTCTATATATCTACTTGGAAGTTTCCACAGAAATAGATTTAGTTTTGTTCATACTAACTGTAATTCATTGGTAAGATATAATCTTAGTCTTACTTAAATTAGGGGAATATTTTGTCATATTTTTAAAGTAAAACTGATTGAAATCGGCAAGATTGACTATGTATAATTCCGTCTGTGATTTTTAATGCACTTTTAAATGACTCATTTTTCTATTAAAAATAGCTGATTGAAATAGAGCCAGAAGGGTTAGGTGTTTTGTGCGGTAAGAGACTGACTTGAGAGTCTGTCAGTCAAAATTTACATTGTATAGATATTGATTATCTGTTAGTCAGTCAAACACCAAATCAGCTTCTAACTTTTTTGAGAGACGTCTGCTACTCTGGCTATATTCTCATCAGACTAGTTAGCGTGTTGCTTTTTGATAATAAATATACTTTCTGATATCCTCAGCTGAGTTGGAACCGAGGAATCTAGCCGAAAGTTGTCTGACGTTAATTGCTTTTAACTGATTAGCATAACGATATTAGATTCTTCATTACTGGCATTCTGTTATCTTATGCAAACATAAATTTAAGAATATGTATATGCACGGGAATTGCATCTTCTTTCAAAACTTACAGTTGCTTACAAACCAGTTCTTCAAAATTAATACAGATTATTATGCTTCCAGATGAAATTTCAAAGTAAAACATTCTAGAATTTATAAACAACAACACTCAGTTCTTTTTTTCGTAAACTTACTGACAAACAATAGCAGTCGACTTATTCTCCACCATTAAGAAAAAATCTCCTTAATCACCAAATTACTTTTCATATCTACTTCTTTGAATGATCTCGGTTCTTAGCTTGATTTCAACAACTATTACGACAAAGTATTGCACTATATATATGTCAATCAATTTAAAAATATACTAAGGCTGAGTTCACACATTTAAACGGTTTATCTTATTTTGATAGTTCGAGATATCACATAGTAATTACCAACACAATTGAACATCATGCAATTTTCCAAGATTACCTAACAAAAGCTAGTATACCTCCTTTTCAATACAGGTCATGGATAACATAAAACGAATAACGATGAATTTTGAATCGTTTAGAACAAAAGTCCCAGGGAAAGGCTTTCTGCGACAAGAATTAAACAACTAAAACCAAGGGATAACTGATAAGACTCTAGAGACGAGAACAATTGAATTAAATTGTATGAAGTTTGAAATGTTTTCATAAACCTGTTTATAATGTGCCAATGTTCAGTGTTTATAGGTGACTAACCAATTAAATGTTTGAAAGTGTTTATGCTGTATTTCAGACCTATAGAAGGATTAGAAAATTTTGGTGAGAAAATATAAATTTGACCTAGTAAACATATCAAACAAAAATGAGTTGGTTTTTTGTATTCAATGATACCCGATAACCTTTTTCAACGTCGCATCTCATGGTTTCATCGCAATATTCACTTGGAATTATTAAACTGTGACTCATAGTAGAACGCAAGGATGAATAGATTGTATAGAATCCATCTGCAGTTCTGCTGATTATACCAGGAATTATTTTCTTAAAATAATAAAATGAATTCATTTACATGATACCGTTTTCTTTTTGTGTTGTTTTCCCTTCAGGATCTTCTGTCTCCTAACCTAATGCAGTCCAAATATGAAGATAATAGTAAGCAAAAACTTGAAAGTATTTCATTGGACGGTACTACACGGATGACAAGTTTCACCAAAGTAACAGCCCCTCTAAGCAGTCGTCTAATTCACGGATGTTTCGCAGGAACAGCAGATGAGTTACTTATTGATACCAATGCCATCCCAACAACAACAACAGACAATGTCGCTTTAAATGATGATGATGATGATGAAGTTTCTCATAATGTGATCAGGTTATCACCCACTACGGTTACTGAGTTTTCACAGCGTAATTCAAACTTAGTTGAAGACCTTGGTATAGAAGCTATGCGTTCACGTGATCCAAAGGATTATATTCTGGGTGGTACAGTTTTAACATGAAACGCGTTTATTTAAAGATGATTTTGAAAAGATTTTCCCCCAGTGAACACACACCGAAACAAAGTAGTAAACATCAGTATGTCCAATTGGTAGTGAACGTAAATATTTTATTGCATCACAAGTACTGATTAACTACTGTAATTTTCAGAAATTCTCACTTTCCGCTGTTATATTTTCTGTTTTGATTTCCATGTAAATGTATATATAGTTCTTAATGTTCACCAATGGGATGGATTGATGGCTGATTTGGTATTTATTAATATACAGGGACGCGGTTCTAATTTCAAGCTGGTTTCCTTAAGAAGCATAGGCTGCTGATTTCAATATAGGGACTAGAAGTATTTTGATTTGTATTCGTTCAAGTCAATTTCGATTTCCCCCTTGACTGATTGGACCCAAATGTTCGGCATTTGTTTACATATAAGCTTCGAATACGGGCACTTAGACAATGTCTGAGGATTAACTTGAACTAATTTGGTCTATGGGTACTGGATTTTAGTTTCGGCGGGAGAACCATCACTCACTGGTACGCAGGTACATACACTGACGAGTCTCAAAGAGGACGAAGTGTTCATCTGTTAGTCACCATCCACCAAATTATTTTGATTAGTCTTCATCATCAATCACGTGAATCTGTGCCAAAATCTGAAAAATTATTTTTCCAACGACAAAAAGAGAGAACAAATCGTTGAAATTGTTATTGTGCTGCATGCTGCTGAAATTGCAATGAGTTCAAGTCAATATCTTCTTACAGACCATCAATATGACATTTAGTTTGGTGCAACTGTTGACTTTTTGGTTGTTCGTTAAAACGTCGAAATTCCAGCACCAAATTCTTGATGGTTATTCTCTAACTGGATACTATAAACAAAATGACAAAGAAAATAACCGACTTGAAATGTGACTGTTATGCACAGAGTTGGCGGAATTTACAAGTGCACCCAATGGTCAAGGCTCATGAAGTGTTAATAAAACCCAAATGGAACGACAAAATTGCAGTCTAAATGAGAATAGGTGTCACTGCTGAAAAGCGGAATGACAAAGGTCAGTCTATACATATTAAACATCCAAGCAGCAATAACTACTTAAAGTTGCTGACACCAAATTGGGTGCGATATAATGAAATATTGATAAGTAATATGCAAAATTCTATTGTTGATTTCACCACCAACCAAGATCATTAGGAGAATTTTCATTGAAACTAATCCAAACTCACACAAAAGTCATGCAGTTTGTTGGTACTTCACGATTGATGAGGAAAGTAGAAGCAAAAATAACATATCCAACAATGTTTTGGTCGTGAGGAACTGGTCGTAATCAAAAACAATATTTTTGAATTTTCTATATCTTAATTAAACATTTAATTGCTCTTTGTTGTGGTAATTAATTTCTCGTATACCACTAAATAATAGGTGCAAATATGTTAAATAAAAATTTGAGTTAAGTGTAAGCATTAATATATATTTTTGGCTCTTAAAGTCTGCAAAGATGTATAGACTATTAGCAGGCTTTCAGAAACCGTAACAATTGCTTTAGGGGAGTTCATCGGAACAAAATACATCCAATGAAGTTTCCCTGAATCAAAGTACTACCGAAAAGTTCATTGATGCTCATGCAATATTTCCAAAGAATATTCATCTCATACTGCTATAGCGAATTTCAACAAGCAATACTTAAAAAGTGCAGTATTATCCAGGAGCATTCACATTTGGCTAAAATAATCAGAATTGAGTTAGGAAGCTTCAGTCTGCTCCACTGAAATTGTAAACAACGAATAGAACAAAGGGCTACACAAAAACGTTATTCTTTTGGTGCATGTCCTCCTACGCTCCTTCCTATGTATGTGACCATAGATACACATGTAAATTTGTGATTTATATTGGATGTAATGTGAACACTCGTGCAATGTTGAGATTTGTGGTAGAGCATGTTTTTGACTTTTTCGGTAATTATAACCTAGCAACATAGTAAGATTTACGAGTGACGGAACTTAGTGTCTGTCTTAAAATCCTACTGTTTATTTCTCCATTGTAAGGAACAGAGTAACCTTTAAGCTTTCAATTTAACTGTCTTCTACACTGGTTCAAAGACTTCAGAGGATATCTTTTTCCGACAAGTGTATTAATCAGGACTTCATTGTCATCATCCAATACATTAGGCTTACAGATACGCTGAATTCTCTTAAGCAAGCATTTATCCAGATCTCTTTTGTATTGCGATGGACAGTAGCTGTGAAAATTCAAATACAACCTCGCCTAAGTAGGCTTTTTGTAAATCAACAAAGTTCAGCGAAGAGTCTGTTTCCGGCGAATTCATTCACTTAGCTGTACAATCGCATTTATAAATAATTATTGTGTGTATGTACATAAGGATTGTCAAACAAAAATAAAAATTAGTTAGAGTTACTGTTTGCGTCATCAAAATGTGATGAATAATCAAAATTGTAACTCATCCGCTTTGTTGAAACATCCTCTTTCCAACTCAAAAATAGGTCTAGAAATGTGGTTGATTGCAAATTTCTTCCACACTTGTCAGGCTGATAGATTTTTTCACCGAGTTAATGGTATCCAGCTGGCTGATTTCATTGTCATACTTATCGACATATAACGATGATGTCATCTCTTATAGAAAACACCTTAACGGTAAAGTCACCAGACAGATTTTCAATGTATGACAAACGCATCAGTCAATAATAGTCCTACTGGACTCATTGCAATGCTGTCCATTTGTCAAAAGTGAATTGAAGGCCGTCAAGCTGGATAGACTAATCTCACTGTAGCTGTGTGGGATTGATATTCTAATCCTGTGATTGCCTGGTATAATATCTAATCAGCTGTAGAAACAATGGCAGAGGTTTCAGATAAGCTGAAATTAGAGTTTAACAGTAGCCTGTGGATTTCTGTTGCTTCATGCGAACTGATAGATACGAAAAGACTGATTCTAGTTCACTGCGAACATGATGAGGAGTGAAAGCTGTTGGCAAAAAGTCTCGCAAAAGATCGTGAAAAGTAGTAGGCGACAACCAGACAGTACTTTAGAGAAACGAGTTGCAATAAAACAGTGATAAGAGCAACCATTTTTGAGAGGGGCAATACTTTAATCACCTCTCAGAAGAGATCAATAAAACGTTGAAGTGAACACTTAAAGGATCAGTCCAACTGGCCTCCTGCAACGCTGAATTCGCGCATCGTCTAACACCCACCTAATGGCATGTAAACATTACCTCCCTAAACTGTAAGTGTGGTTGGAATTGCTGTTTCTGATCTAAAATAAAATATTTCACCTGGACGTGACGGTATCACTTGTTACCAGAAGACAATATCGTCGATTTAGACGATGTACTAGGTGAGGACGCTGACAAAATGTACAGTCTGCAGAACAATTTGAGCAAAAATCTCAGCGTACAATCAGCAAACTGTAAGATGGGCTGCAGGATATCTCTAGTCATGATAGAGTGTGTTGTTGAATATTTCATTTATGTGGGAAATTGGACTGACCCTAATGGACAGGTTGCTGATGAATTCTCAACTAGGATCCGAAACACCCGAGTGGAATTTTACAACTTAGGTCGTCTCTAGGGTGGGAGTGATTTCCAGTTATCCATTAAGGGATGTGTGTACTGCGCAATAGTTTGTTCAGTCCTTTATGGCTGTCTTTAACCACAGGTGTTCGTGTTGCGTCTTCATTTTGTGGTGTACCGTTGAGGTTAGGTAAGGACGTCAAGTCAATAGATGAGATTGCAGGTCTGAATCGACAATGTTACGTGTGCCAAGCTATTCCCTTCGACGACCAAAGTTAGCTGTCACGGGGTTGGGATAGGAAATTGTTGGAGGTAGCCAAACCAAAATCCGTAATCAATTCATCTTTCAGCCACATTGGGAGGAGCTAACTGACTCACTGGGGTCCTCGAGACGCTTGGAACCAATGGGTGGAGACTATTGGTGATATGGCTTGAAATCGTATTCTGTGGCGCACATTCATTCTCTCTTTATGAACTATTGTACTAATCACATTCCCCATGTACTTACGCTACCTACCGTAAGCAATTGTTCGTTATAGTTCCTTTGAGTTTTCACTTTTCGATACTTTTTCTATATGGTAGATTGAGTGTTGCAACTTGAACTGTTTCACTTGTATGCAAAGTTACACGGTGAAAACTCAGTCTGTCAACCAGTATTATTGAACAGGTAGGTCGGCGTGATTTAGCATATATCGTGTTGTTTAGCTGACCTTCTTGATTGTTACGTACGACTTCAAGCATATGAAGTCCTAGAGGCTATGAACAGATTTAGTCTTACTTTGGCACTATCCTGCGATAAACAATCACAACTCTTTACCTAACTATTAAGCATCAAGTTTTGTTATGATCATAAAACCATCAGTTCACGGGATCTGAATGACCCATATTTTCCAACATCTACCTTTTCGCAATATGATGCTGCAGTGAATAACAGTTCTCGCAAATGATTTGGCTAACTTTATGGACCTTACAATACGTATGTATATATATATATATATATATATATATATATAGAGAGAGAGAGAGAGAGGGAGAGAAAATATATCATGAAAGAAAACTAAGATTTACTTTTAGAGGTAAGTTGAAAGTGCTAAACTATGCTAATGTTGTTCATCAGAAAAATACAACATTCAGAAAATGTAGGTGTTATTGATTCTAACGTAGCTGATTTTTCCGGGCTCATGCGGGACGAAAAGTGTGCCTATCTGAAGATGAAATCTCAATTACGGCAGAAAGAATTCTTTCCCAACACTATTATGTTTATAAGATAACACGAAAGGTAGCTAGTTCTGCCTTCATGCTCTGTAGAGGAGACGTTAAGAAGCATCGGTCCAAGAACTCTACGTCCTAGCTTTTTTAGAGTACGTTTTAATAGAATCTATTTCGCAACTAGAGGAAAAACTCAGATTTGTCCATTCTAGCAGGCGATTTAACTGTTGAAGTAGGGGAGCTGAGCCATTCCGAGAAAAGTATCGCAATT